TCGACCTGCTGGAGACACTCTTCTTAATGCACCCCACGATCCCATTGGCCTTCTTGGCCACGAGGGCACACTGCTGCCTCATGGTCAACTTGTCATCCACCATGACACCCAGGTCTTTCTCTGCAGAGCTGCTCCGCAGAAGGTCGGTCCCCAGCCTGTACTGGTGTCTGGGGTTATTCCTCCCCAGGTGCAGGACCTTGCACTTAGCCTTGTTGAATTTCATGAGGTTTTTCACCGCCCAGTTGTCCAGTCTGTCCAGGTCCCTCTGGATGGCAGCGCAGCCCTCTGGGGTATCAGCTACTCCTCCCAGTTTGGTATCATCAGCAAACTTGCTGAGGGAGCACTCTGTGCCTTCATCCAGGTCATTGATGAATAAATTGAACAGGACTGACCCCTGGGGGACACCCCTACGTGTAAAGATGGCATCTAGAAAGTTCCCTCTGAGGAGGCAATGTGGATCGACAAAGTCTAAACTGTGGAATTTGCATGAATTTGTCAGGGTTATTCCTTCTAGAATATGTTATGATATAGCCTTTTAGGGAGCTGTATTCCATGTTTTTTGCTGAAATGAGCAAGTGATGTTTCTCTGTACCTCTAGTTCTTGTTCCCAATGATATTAATACATACAGTATTTATAGAGTTCGTGCTAATAAGTTTTTGCCTGGAAACCTAGACAATAGTGAGGAATAGGATTTGCTGTTTCAATTTGTTTTATTTGTTGTATGCATTTTTTTGCATTTTATAGTGAAGCTGAACTTCCAATTCATTGCAAAAATTCATTGCAAAAATTGCAAAAATATGCTATTAGCATTTTCTTTTATCCTTGGTTAGTTTTTTTGCTGTTTTTTTAAAGTTTTCAGAAGCAATGACATCCTTTCCTACAGCTCTGCTTCTTATGTATCCAAGACTTCAAAATCCCCCTTTTGCTATACATGTTACTCTCCCTTAGACAAATTTCTGAACTTTCATTCACAGACTTCCCTCTGTTCAACACCCTACATACCAACTAGAGCTTGAGGGAAACACACCTTGGTTGTCACAGCTGTACTCAGCCTAAATGTATAGGTATATGATACTTTGCATAAACAAGGAGAAAATGGAAAACAATGTGGTACTTAAATGTTGATGGACCCAGCTTTGTGTCTTTTCCCCCCTGTGCATGAGGTGTCCCTCTGAATTTATGTAATGTCAGTACTCCAAATTTTCCTTTATATCTTTCCTGTACTGATCTCTGAACTTATGGGAAAAGGAAAAAGCAGCAGCTTGCAATACAGAACACACACCATTGTGGCCTTTTTTCTTTCTCCAGTTTCTGATTTGAATATCTTAATTTTAATCTGACTCTCTGCTGTTGTGCATAATAGTGGATGAGTACTATAGGCCTATTCTACTTAGTTGCAGCATTATTAATTATATTGAACAGTGTCTTTTCCCTCTGAAAGACAAAAATCAAAACATACAATCTAAATACTAGCCTACTAATTTGTCCCATTTCTGCAAAATGTTCTTTTTTTTTTTTTTGGCTTCCCCTTGAAGATGAGGGGAGCACAAGTTCCCCATGTTAACTCTCCAGTGGCCAGATCTACAAACCACGGTGCTGGGTGCTTGCTGTTCTGTGGGACAGGGTAGATCCCAGAAAGGCAGTAGGAAACCCAAATATGGCTCTCTTTCCATAACCATCTGTTATTTAGGGCTAAGGAAAATATACAGGAAGGGACTAGGGGTGTTTAATTTTCATATATTTAAAAAAATAATTTGCGAATTAAGGACTATCAAGTAGCATGCAAAAACAAAGTCTTAATTGCTACTTTCAGGCTCTACCCTGGGCCAGGACTCTAGAGACTTGCCAGGCCCGGTGGTGCTCACCACACCACTGCCTGCTGCACGCTCTGCTTCTCCTGCTTCACTCGCCTGCCCAGCACTGGAGGCTCTGGGCAGTGATCAGCAGGCTGCTTGGAGCGAAGTAATTTGGATTAATAATAAAGTTATCTTTTAAGTTTTCGGTTTTGTACTTAATACCTTGCTATATGACAATGATTTCCTTCTATTTTAGGGAAGCAAATAGGGCAGAGTTTCCATGTTAACATATATTTAAACCCCACAGAAAGAAAAGGAAGGAAGGAAGGGACTATGGTTATTAAGATGTACTTAGCACTGCATTATTTTTACTAAAACCTTGAATGTTTTTTCATTCCCTTGGAAGGTAGAGTTGCAGAGTAAGTCTGAATATATTCATTGAACCCTTTTGTGCAGGAATTACCAAATGTAGTTGAGCTGGGTGAGTGAATGTTTAAAATCTTTGGATTAAAAAGTCAAAATTTAAGATTACTGTTTAAGAATTCAACTACTCAAAGTGTTAGAAGCTTTTGTATTACTAAGAAAAGGAAACTACTGGAGTAAGTTTCCAACAACAACAAAAAAAAACACACAAAAACAAAACAAACAAAAAACACCACAACAGTAACCATAAAAGGAGACTGTTGTTCCTACTTTTATGCCAATACTTTCATCTCTTGGACAGATACACCGCTACACTATTGAAAGGGCAGTGCCTTTACTACCACACTATGGAAAAAATGAAATGGATTTTAGTTTGGAAATAATATGGTCAAACAAAGATGTATTTTCTTGGTTAGCAGACAGAATCACAGAACAGGGCCTCTGCAGATCATCTAGTCCAACCCACCCTGCTCAGGACATACATCTGCTAACATGTACTCCTTAGAGCAAACATCCCATTTGCACACAGTCACTGTAGCCTGTTTTAAGCAAGCTAATCTTTCTTTCATGTGTGTGATGCCCATCCCTCACCTGCTGCCCTTCAGGTGGCTCCATCATGTAGTTCAATCGAGGCAGCTTCCCTGGAGCCTGGAGTTTTCTGCGCGTTATGTGAGTACAGGGCCTGCTGGGGAAGTCCAAGTCGTCAACTTTCGTGTTGTGTAAATTCTCTTCTACTGCTTTCAGGGAAGGCTTTGGTGCATGAACCTGTGGATATACAACACAAAGTAATCCTGAGACTGAAATGAACTCTACAGTGTTCACAGTTGTCACAGGCACCCTTCCAATCCTTGAACCTGTCAGGTCTGAGACAGGCAAGGCTAGTGCCCTGCTTGCACTTACTTTGGCTTTACCAAAAATATTGCCTTTGAGGTTTGGAGTAATATAATCCAACAAGCATGTGACAATTCCTGTTGTTTATGGCTTGGGCTTTAGAGAAGGGCTGTCCTTCCCCTCTCTACCCCAAAAGACAGGCACTGAACTAGTGAAGCAGGAAACCTTTCCAGGGACCCCAAGAATTATTAACGATAGTGCCAATATCCTCACCTGCACAGGCTGTCCTTGGTGGAGCGTTGTGGAGTTAATTGTCTTGTCTTCATCTTGACAGTATCGTGACGTTGTTGCCCCAACACAGGTTTTGTTTTGACAGGCATATTCCTCACCTTCCATCCTTTTTTGCTTTGGTTGGACCGGTTTTAGTACAGCCTTTGGTAAGTGGACCTGTTGACATATGATTAGCGATTCTGTATAGTAAAAAGCCCTCCATTTTTGACAAACATAAATGTTGTAAAGCTCAGTACCAAAAATGTAAAATGAGAGTAAGATTATACAATCTCTCTCAAAAGATTTGTTTTTAGCATTTTAATTATCTTTAAAAAACATACGAAAAGCTATGCAGTATTTGGGAAGAATGCTACAAAATAAACTCAGTTATAAATTTGAAAACCTTCATTAATAACCCTTAATGGGAACAGTGCCAATACGTCACTGTATCATTATTCAGGAGAGCTGAAAACATCCCTTATCACTGGAATCAATCAAATGCAACACTGCCTAAAATAACTTAATTCCTAAGTCCTCGGACTCAGGTAATCTAACTTAAGAGTAAAGTCTCATACGCTTTTACAGTCTTCTCAAATGTAATGGGAAATACACTCTGAATAGTTGCATGAGTTAATGCAAGTTTTTTTCCAGTGCTGCTCTAAGCACTAAGTATGAAATGATGTCTGTTTTTGGCTTTTATAACTTGGAAGACAAATGTAGCCAAAACACAGGCTGTATGCCACATGCCTTTGGTACTTCTGGCACGCTAATAACTCTGTAACTGTAATGTTTGCATATGGTCCTTGATGCAGCAGCTGCAGCTGAATGTAGCAGCTAAAAATGAAGTAATAAGCTTCCTTTTGGACTGAAAATTAAATGCATACAGGAGATGAAAACTGCACAAACTAAATACTGTTGAAAATGCTACTGGGCATTTGTATCTATTGTTTAAACTAAAAGACCTTTTAAGAATTCAATCCATAGCTTTACTCTGTGAAAATTATTAATGTTTGAAAAGGTGTGTCTGTTTTGCAAGAGTTTTCCAAGGGTCTAGCTCAGGATATGCCACTGTAGCCAGCTGTGAGAAAGTGCAGGAGCTGGATGAGCAACCGAGTGCTGCTGATGCCTCCGAGTTCGGGGCTGTTTTCTGTGCGCAGCTCTGCACTGCGTCGGGCAGCGCCTGAGCACCATGCTGGCAGCTTCGCGTCGGGTACCTGCTTTAAGTGACCGAACCGCTTTCACAACAAGACACAGCATTTCTGAAAATATTCACTCTCTGCCTGAAGATCTCCTTATTCTATACTCAAAAAAATTAAAAACTTATATCGATTCCCATTCATAATGAAATGCACAAAAACTTAGCTAGTCAGCTGGCCTTCCTGTATTTTATTTGGCCATAATCCTAGCACTTTCACTGTAGGTGAAAAAGCTGAAAGATTTATCCAGTGCCAAAAATTGGTACGCACATTTGAGAAATAATGCCATGTTTTATCATGTGTTTGGTATGCAAATGAAACAGAGTCAGGATGTAACCCCGGTCATCCCTTTTATGTCATTTAAAGATTAGATTCACATACAGTATCCTGAAGCACAGGATTTGTATCAGTTGCTCCCGACATCATCTTAAGAAGGGAATTCACTGAGATCCTCTCTTTCCTCTACCAAACCAGTGCAGGCAGAGACAAAGAAAAGGTAGTTTAAAAGTCAGGTGCTACTTAAGTGAGGCAACAGTGGAGAGTTTGTAGGGGCTCCCACTATTCTCAGGTTGCCTTTTTAATGGAGAAATGGTCAGTGAATAAAAGTAGAGATGGAAAGGGACTGCAGAGGTGAAAAGATTCCTATTGCAGGTAACCACAGACAGCGCAATAAGGAGAGGCAGCGGGAAGTGCCTTTCTGTCCTCAGACACTTACTTAGGCAGGACTGTAGCACCAAAGTGCACCAGGCCTCGAATACTCCAAGGCCAGGAGCCACAGACTGAAATCCAGATTTTCTTACAATGACAACAGATTTAAAGAAAACTTTATCTATCTATCTGCTCTACTTGCATTTTTAAAAAAATCAGACTAGTAAAGAGGCTTTATTAAAGTGTTCCTCAAGTCTACTCAATAACCCTGGAAATCTTTCCATAGCTATTTTGTAGTGAATATGTGAAAAAAGCTTTTCCCCATAACCAGAACTAGCTGAAGAAACACACTGCAAAAACAGCTTGGGGCATTCTTACTATTCCAAGAAGCAAGACAGTCAACATGAAAAAAAATCTCTCTAAAAAAGTGGTGTTAGGTACCCACATCTAGTACTTTACGGGCTCTCTGATCCTGTGATGGGTCATCAAAATTATTTCTGCTTGGGGCTAAGGAACAAAATGGGTGAAAACTTTTTTTATGAAAGGTTTTATGTACTCTGTTGTATCCCCAAATGGGGAAGCAGCAGCTTTACTGAAGGTAGCTTTCAATATCCGAGTAATCCAAGATTCTTGTGAATCAGAAAACCAGCTAGATCAGTCAGGGAAATTAACAACTGCTTTCAACTAAGTTTTAAAAAAAATGTACAAACTAAAATGTAAAACAAAACAAAACAAAAAAAAACAGCTTCTCAAAATTAGTGGAGATTAAGTGGTCACCATCATAGCAAGGGAAATACTGACACTGAAGTAGCTTTTGGTACTCTATGTTTTGTTAAATGAAAAAAAAAAACACAGAAGTCGTCAGTAAAGTAGCTAAAATAAGTATCTGTAATTACCAAGATCAAAATCCAGTGGCTTTTTATTAAACATGAACTTTTGTTCTGCCTTCTGTAATACGTAAATAGTGCTGACAGTTGGTTTGTGAGGCACTTGCTACAACAAAATGTAATTGTATCATGAGAGAAAGGTGACAATCAGGAGATCATGAAAAAATTACATATTCTCACTGGTGGTTAATTAGCCATGCAAAACCCCCTCAAACAGATATTCTCTTCTATTAGGAATGATTACTATGCAGGCCTACAGATGTCAATACCACAGTCATTCAAATACTTCTTTCGCTACTAATTGAAGGTTGTAAAGCTCTGGTGCCAAGGTTTTGCTTCCAAAGAGCTAATTTATGACTAGAAGGATATTTTATGTCTTCAGTTGCAGCAGCTACAAAACTCAGCAAATCAGAACCATCTGTGCACTGATACTTGAATCACCATTCATCTAGCAGCCTATCAGTCACATTAGTTTGCATCCTGCATTCTTGGCTCACATACACTTCTGATGGTCCAAAGTTCATAAGAAATATTAAAAATGAGTGGTACCCTGACCTTGCCTTATTGAACATGCATCGGAGAAAGAAACAGGGCTTTTGCATATGTGGAGTCTCAAGGCAGAGGTATTATGGGACTGACATTTCACAGCAGGTCCAGCAAGGCTGCTAATTACATCAATCTCCACTTATTAAAATGAGGTTTTATTAACTGTATGGTTTCAGACTTAAAAATACAAAGGGAAAACATAACATGCTAGTTGTCAGCTATAAAAATCTGTTAGTACATCATATAGCACTACATACCAATAAAACAGTTAAATTCTGGAGTAACACATCCTCCAGATTAGTGGCTGTAGGAATATAAGAGCAAATGACAACAGGCCAAAGGCAAAAAAAAATGAACTAAATGCTTTCACTAATAATGGTAACTTTGCTTCTAATCTGGTCAGAAAGAAAAACCCGGCATTCAGGCTCGTCTTCAAGATGTTAGGGAACAAAGTCCTTGACTTCCCCATTATCCTGGGAGGCCGGGATTCTCCACAGACCTGCTGCTTTGAAGTAAGAGGCTGCAGGTCAAAAGGACTCACGACAGCTCTTCCTCCTCGCGGGCTGACATCCCACTCTTTAGCAAAGCCGGGGAAACAGAATTACCAAACACGGGGTACTTAAGGCAAAAGAACTGCTGCCAGTCTCATTTGGAGACCTTAAGCTCTTCCTTCTCTCACAAAAGGAGAGACAACTACCCAGCAGGAGATTTCAGACAAGAATCCCAGAACTGTCTCACTTACCTTTGGCATTTTAGAAGCGCAATGATATGGGGCGCATCCTGTAGTGGAAAATTCCAAAGGGCCATCATACGGAGTTCCACTTGACTCTAGTCCATCCAGCAGGATTTTCTTTAGCACTTCATACTTTGGCTTTTCCTCATAAGCTAAATCGTAAACACATGCCAAAAACTCGGCTATTTCACCTGTGGAGCATATTTGAAATATAAATTTCACTTTTTCTGGACATAAAACTTTTAAGGTTTTAATTCCAAAACGGATGCCAATGCTGCACTGCCAGATGAGATGACAAAATTTCGGCTGAAGACAACATTCAAAATGCAGAACCGACAGTATCCTGTCTTTCCGAGATGGGGAAAAAAAAAAAAAAGCATTAGGCTTGGATAAACCAGCTAACCTTTAAGTGCTATATCTTGTTATAGACATGCATTAATTTGTATGCTACTGAAAGCTAAGCCACAAGCATGAAAGCTAAATCAAAATAATTTCTTGACACATATTAATAGTTCATTCTAAAATAGAAGCAGTTTATATCTGGTAGATCATAATATTCTTTTGAACACCGAATACTCTCAATAACTATTTGAATCAGCCTAGCAATTGTACATTCAATGATTTGAGAAGAGCAACTTTTTTTTTCTCCTTTTCTTTACATCTAATTCTTGGACAAATATTGGTTTTGAGAGTTAAGTTCTAATACAACCTAATAACAACATTATTTTTGCTATCACTACTGTGTACTTCTAGAGACAGGAAAGCTGCGCAAAGTGCAGAAGTAATACTATTAGGAAAAGCGTGTAGAGAAAAAACATTTGTTAGAATCCCACAAGTAAAGTTTTATTAAATATACATGTATATTGTGAATGCATCTTATATAATACAGCAGCATTCCAATAGTTCAAATGCACAAATTTCATGGAAATAAATGAATAGATCCAAAATAGATACTGCAATTGAGGGAGTATTAAGTGTGGTGTTTTCCGTAAACTAAACTTTTCTCTGGTTACCTTTGTACAGTTTCTGGGCAGGATGCACAGGACAAGCCAAGCTATGCATTTATCTGTTTTTCTAACTCCTAATACACTAAGAAATAAACCTCCATAAACAGTTGCTTACTACTTCCAGATACCTACATTTCTAGGATAGTAAGTCACTGTTTCCTAAACTTGTGGATTACAGATAGCTAAGATCTGATGTGCCAGTATTAGATTCAGTTCTCTCCTGCAGGGATGGTGTTCTCATTTAATAAAGGAAGTTACAGAAGAATTAAGGTATTAACATTTATGTTTAAAAAATAATAATAATAGCTGGAGGAGGAGGCCTTTCTGCTGGCAATCCACTCTTTTTCCCAGCCTTTTGGTGGTAGCATTAACAAGGAGGGCAGCAATTGAGCCACCAGAACTCAGGCTGAGCCCCGGGGCTCCAGCTACCCTCTGGGCACAGAGCAACTACAAAGCATTGGTCAGGAAAGCGCGGGTGCAGCTTGACTGCGCTTGGATATGTCACCGTATGGCACTTACCCCGCATGAGACGGATCACGGTTTTTACCTGCCATAAAGCATTTAGTATCCTGCCTCTAGAATCACGTGCTGCAGAATGGCCAGCATTCAACAGCGACCAGGAACTCACCAGTAAAAATCCCTGCAAGCTAGAATTGCTTAAAGTGTAATAAGCTTGATGAGAAGGGTCGAATCCAGGTCCACTGAAGTCAGCAGAATTATGAGTTCAATTAAATTGCGATCTTAATTAATGAGTTTGATGTATATAATCTCACAATAAGTACTACAGGAGTACCATGTTATCAGCTCAATAGAGCTCCAGTTCACATACTGCAGGCTGAATTCTGCTGAATACATACAGAGCAAGACCTAGTCTGCTGTACTGCCAGATTTTACACAAACAGGATAAAAAAAAGTTAGCCCAAGTACTCATGAGGTTGGTGCATTTTGTACTATTTGTTACCTTAATATCATACTTGATACAGAACATATCCTTAAGCACTGCATATGGAGATTTGTTTACTAATTCCCTTCTCCCTAGGTGTAAGGTCCACTACCACCTGCAAACTTGTACTCCAGTATCTGGCCAGAAACGCATCCTAACGTGTAGGAAGAAGCCAACAGTGAAACCTCCTCTCTGGTTTCCTCCATCTCTGGCAAAGAAGTTGCAGCTACCTTCTCACGACTTAACTAATGCAACAGGTAAGCACAGGAAGACAGAAAAGGAAGGAAAGTTTAGGGCAGGAGAGGATGCAGACAGTACTTGAAAAAGGAGCACAGGAGGACAGGAAGGCAGAAGCTGAGAGGCAGGGTAGCCCCTCTAGGCTTGTACTAATGGAGGCGCCTGGTAGGAAAATCTATGTGCAGCTGACTCAGATATGAGAGAAGAGAATCAAGAAGATGCCAGACAAAAACCCAAGGTAGAAGCTAGATAAAAAGGTCAGGAATAAGAAAACACATCAGTGACAGTGCCAGTCAAACAGGCATTGGAGAAGAACAAGGGGAAGGGATGGAAAGGCTCATCTAGGATGGATGGAGAACCGGGACAGTGAATTCTCAGCAGCCCTGAAGACTCCACTTGGCCTACACTCACCTGCCTGCCTAGCCCCACTGCTCCTTCTTATCTCGAGGCTGCTCCTTCTGCAAAGGTTGGTGTGCAGGGGCGATGTCAAAGGGTCCCAGAAGGGCAATCTCTGCTTGCACATTATAGCTTGCCCTAAGATCAGAGCCCAGTGATACTGCATGGACTCAAGCCTTTTCTTTTAGGGTGCAAGACTTGCTGATTAAGTTCATTATTTTGTTCATTTTGTAATAATTCTACTGTTCTCGTGCTCCCCTCAGTGTAAGGCATTTAAGTGCTTTCCACAGCAGACTGAAGTGCTAATGGTAGATACTGTAAGCACACTTACTGGATTTGCTTCCAGAAGATTCCCATTCCATCACTGAATGTGGGAGCTCATCCAAAAGCCTGAAACAACACAAGAATGCAACAGTTTGAAGTGGTTCTGGAGCAGTTAATCCTTCATTTGGCATCTGGAAGGACAGCAAATCTCAATTCCAAAGGGAATGGACCAGAAAACCCGCCTCGGCAGTGTTTCCACTTTGTGACAAGTGGAAAGGGGAACAGGGCTACTTAACATGCGGTTATTTGGAAGTTACTATATCTTTTTACTATAGGAACTTCATTTCCCCATATAATAAACAGAGAATTAAATCTCAAATATTGCAATAATGACACGGTTTACAAAAAAGGTAATTGAGCACTTCGTGTGTTCTTCCCAAGACTCTTGACCATTCCCCAAAGCATGACATCAAGCTAGATGGACCTTTGGTCTGACCAGGAGCTGTTTTTCAGCATTAGAAATAGAATCTAAGCTAAATTAAAGGAAAATATGTATGTTTAAATTTATTTCACTTTCTCAAATTTGAAAATCCTAATTCAAATGGAGCATCTCCTCCAGTAATGGCATGACATGAGAACTTCTGAAAACAAGCTGAACAGCAGGAATCCTTAAATTTTGCATTTCCAGCACCCAGTGCTTTAGCCCAGTTGCATCAACACTCTGTTACTTAGAGTTTCATTTAGAAAGAATGACGTAAGAAGTTGTGGGGGAAGGAGGAGAGGCAACTGGTAACAACGGAATTGGGGGTCCTGTTGTGTCTCCTGCTTTTCAACCGCATCCCCCTTCCCAGCTGTCGTAGTGCCTTCCCTGTCACAGTTGTACAGTCTGCACAGCCATGGGCTGGGGTGATTAGAGCAGACCTGCCTGGGTGGTGACTCACTAACTCACAACCAAGTGGATATGTACATAGATCCTGATGCCTGCTTCTGGCTTCCTAAAACAGTATAGGCACAGAAAAACCAAGTAAGTAAGAGGAGAGGGCCTTGTCAACTTATCTAAAGCCAAGGAACACAATTTGTTGCTCTAAAAGGGTATTTCTGCTAAATGGAATTAGTGTCACTCTTTGTGCATTTCCCCCTAAACAGCTCCTTGGCCGGCTTTCTGGAAACAGGTGCAAGCAAAGGGTTAACAGTAAGGGAAGAATTACTGGAGCAGCTTGATTGATTAAATTGATTTAACATTGAATTGCATAAGTGTTACCTTGCAGGGGGTTGTGTAATGATCAGAACTTCTAAAGGAGAAATATTAAACATAACATAGGATGTCAACATTTACAGATGCAATCGGTATTATCCACAGTCTGCAGGCTAACCTTTTTCTCTGCTGAGAGCCGATGCCACACTGAATTTGCAGATTGATTTCCGTGGATCAGCTATCCCTATTGTGTACCTCTGTTGTGACTTGCCCTACTTAAAAGTTTGCTGCTTTCTCCAGTTGTGATGTTACATTTAAGGATAACTACTCTTCTGTACATCCTTCTATGGGCGATGCTGTACCACATGCAATTAACTCTCTCAAGTCTCAACTGTGAAAGCAGTGAAAGAAAACACTAATACACTCTGCTGCTTTAGTAAGCTCTAGTGAGTCATGCTGGGAAAAAGATTTAAGCAAGTTCTTTAGTTTGGTGTTTTAATGTTTATAATGACAGTCAGCTTATATGGCATTAGAAACCTACATCTGAAAAATAGATATCAAATAAAAAGGTAAATAAATTAAATGCACAGTGGAAGAAAACTTTCAAAGGACTTTTGCCCCATGCTCTCTTCCAAGCACCCGTGAAGCTTAATGGCAATCTCCAGTGTCCACCTGCATGCACAGTATCAGCTGTATTATTGTTCACACCGTTTCTTTTAAAAAACGGTGTATTAAAAGATGTGTAGGAGAGGAAATGTCTGTGCATTATGCCTTTATCATCACATCTCCACCGCAGTAACATACATAAACATGTGTAAAATGGTATATATGCATATGGAGTTTGCATTTTGAACAGCTTCTAACATCTCTCTTAATTAAGGAAAATTGTTTTAGCTTTCATGTGAGATGATGTCCTACAGGATATGAGCTGTCTTTGAAATTTCGTTTCAGACCTCTTTGGTAAATGCCAGAACACGTTATAGGTGTGTGCATGTGTGTGTGGTTTTATTTTTACTTTGTTTTCGCAGTCTGGACAGCTACAGGGTCCTTCAGGTTCTGCTCCCAGGGCAGTTTCCCACATAACCACTGCAGCATGCAGTAGCCAAGGATTTCAAGGTCACCTCGTCTAGATGGGGCTAAAACAGAAGGGGTGGGGGGAAAGGGAGAAAAAAAGATGAAGAATAAGAACCAATTCTTAGCAAACAGAAAAGACTGATTGAACTACTGTTGATGAAATATGAAAAAGCCAAACAGGCAAAGTGTTTTGTTTGTTCAGCTGTATGAGACCTAAAATGGCCAGGATTTTGGCCACAGTCCACAGACAGGCAGTGACTTGTTACTGCTGAAGTAAGGGTCAGTTTTCTCACCTCCTCCAGCTTCATCCTTCCTCAGACGGGCCTGTCACATGGACTCGATCCCCATGGCCTCTGACACGATCCAGACAGCCCATAACTGAGCACCAACACTTTCTCAAAGAGCCAAGCAGTAAAACAAAGAAATAAATGTCTGCTGCTAAATTGCTAACACATGTTCCAGGAAGTCCATGGGGTCCACATTGGTCATGCAGGGACCCTGCGCGTGCAGACTAAACACTGATGGCCTTTCCTGCTCTACTCCAGAGCTGCTTGAACGTGGAAGCTAGGACAAAACTGCCATCTAGTGCACGTTCGCACGCCAGCGGGGCCAGCTTGCCAGTGCTGCGCGCTGTTCGTGTGGTGAGGGCTGGAGCGCCGGCTGCAATACACTTGCTCTTCAGCCAGTCCCAGGTAAACTCACCACTGCTGTTTCCAAAAAAGAAGTTATTTCAGAAACAACTTACTCTCGTCCCGAGCAGCCAAACAGTTATACTAATATAATATACTAAGTAAAATGGAAATAATACTATTAAAAATTAACATCATACCAATATATTTCCTGTAGAGAAAAACAGATTGCTTAATCTAAAGACTGACACCTACATCAAAGAAAAAGTACTAATGGAATTATTTTTGCTTATTTCTGGTCAAACAAACCTAAAATAAAACACAGAATTGCTGCAATACGTCTTTGCACAGGGTCGACTTTCAGCCTGCAGTTTGTGAGACAATACAGACTACATTAACACAGAAAACTCTTGATCATGATTAAAATACAATAGACAAAATACAAACAAATTAAATACAATTAAAATTAAATCTATACTTTTCCAAAATGAATTTGAATTTTTCTAGAATGAAAGAAGAGTTCAGATTCGTTTGATACTTTTTTCTTGAGTACAGACTACCAGTAGAGCATAGTGCTGTTAATCCAGTTGTAAACAGATACCATATTTTATGGATCTTCATTAAATAAATTCCAGAAAGTCACTCGGCAAACTTATCGTTTAATTTCAGAAGTCATCTGCTAAAAGCACAATGCCAACATATCATAACCACTTCTTGTTACCATCTACACATTACTATAAAAGCAGAAGACAAGATTAGTTCTTAGACACTCCGTATCTTAACTGCTATTAGGCTATCGGATTATTAAAGGCCCTTCAATCTAAGCAAATGTTCCACCATCCCCCGGGTGTCGTTTATTTTCTGCACTACATTCAACAATGTCCTAATGCAGGACTTGGCTCTCATATTAAAATACAAACATAATCTCTACCACTTGCTGCTCTGCAGCAATTTCTCCAGTCATAAATCTCCCAGTAACTGTGGAACAATTCCATTCACACACGTGTTCACAACTCCTTTTTCCATTATGGCAATTCCAGATTATAACCATATAAGCCCGCGTTTTTGACCGCCGATCCTCTAAGCTTCACAAAAATGCTTTCCTGGCACCCGCTTGTATCGGATGGTCTATATACAAAGTGGCCGTTTGAGATTATCATCAAAATTACACTGGACCACTTTTTTTTCACCAAGGGAGTAATTGATGTGAGGCTGTAAATAACGATTTCGGAAGCTAACCCAAGATAACGACTTGGCTGCCGAAAGAGTCCCTGGAGAGCCAAGTTTACTTAAGTTTGGCCATGTCTAATTACCTTCTAATTCCCATTTAGCTCTTTTGTCCATTTCCTGACTACTCCAGCAGCAGTAAGTGCAAGCAGGACGCCCCTAATGCCTTCCCAAAGCCACTGTGGCCAGGGCTGCTACATGTAACTAAGTCGTTTATCACTAAAAATACAGGGAGCACATTTTACAAAGAGGGCAAAATCCCCTATCACTTTATCTAGCGGATCCCTGAAAGCGTCTGCTACATAAAGACGTTTACACGCGTTTCTCATAGATCCACATGAAAACGTCAGCATTTGATTATATGAATAGACCAACTTTCCCTTGCTCCTTTCTTGATTCAGGATTAGAGGTGCTCATTTCCTCAACTTTATAAATAATTCTGATCCTTGCAAATTAATTACTTAACTAATATTCAGTGAATTAATATAACCTATGAGCAATTAAATAGATTTTCATCCCGTATTAAATCCTATTTTATCTGTATTATTATTTGAAAAAAAAAAATCTGCTACTAGTTTGCGAGTACCAGAGTGCTCATTAAACGTGAGCTGAGAACTCAGTCTGGCTTCACTGTAAATGTGGCAGCCACTCAATAACAGAATGGTTTCACTCCGCAACCTGGCACTCCTACAATGGTATATATTCAAAATCATAGTTAAAACAAATTCTCTTTTATTTCTCAGTAAACTAAAAATTGCTCTTTTTAAAAAAGTAGATTTGTGATTTCTACTTTTCTATTCATTACAAATTTTTTAACGTATTTTAATTTCTTATGAAATACTATTTACCATAACCACATTGGTCATATTTTATTTTAAAGTATTTTTCTAGTTTAACTTTTTTAGTTGAAGATTTAAGGCCTGATTCTGTACTCACTCCTGCAAAGATAAATCAGGAACAACTCCACTGAAGTTAATGAATTAACAACCATGCCAATGAAATCTGAGTCGGGCCATAAGAAGTTTTATATACACCACAAGCATATATACTCACCATGCAGGCATAGGGTTGAACAATAACTCAGAATAATGTAACTGAAGCAATTCACACTGAGAAGAGAATATATTATGTCTCTCTGTACACTAGATTTGGCAGTTTGCTGAGTTCTAATATAAATTCAGATTGCTATTTCAAAATGGAACATAAATGATCTCACATCAGCCACTCTAAGCTCCCAATACCACAATGTGCTACAAAACTCATCTTCAAGCCACATAAAAAGCCTCTTCCTCCGTGGCCTTTATTAAGCCAACTTTTTCAAGCCCTTTGTAAAAATCTAGGAGGCTAAGGAGAGACAGAGATGAAATGTATTGCTATTATTTTTAATTAGTACTACTGTACTACAATTTCACCATGTCTATTTCTCTAGACTGGAAAGTTTCCATAGAAAGAATCATTTTAGTTGCTTCTGTTGTCTTCACGTGCAGTGGAACCTCCAATTCTTAATGACATTATCAGCATACAAATTCATATTAATTCACATACAGACTTAACTCGTATACCACAACCATTAATTCAAAAGCCCATAAAAAAGCACTGTTAACAGGAACACAGAGAAGTGTAATATGTCAAAAATGAATCATGACAGTGTTTTAATCTACAATGAACTAAAAGTGACAGAAGTTTTTAACTTGGGGTTGAGAAGATAAAACAAGTAGGAGAACTTGCCAAAATCAGTGCCTCTATCAGGGTAGGAGGGAGCAAACAGTGAAGTACTTCTTTGCCCTGACACTTCTTGCCCTGACAAGACTCTGGGTCCATCTGGGAAATTCACTGCAGCAGGATAGGAAATAACTGAGTAGAGTGGACGCTGTCCCGCGTACACTCTTTGGGAAACACGCGCCAAAGTGCAGCCAATCTAGAATTCATCTGACCAACATGAAAAAACCAACAGGCTCCCTCCAACTACTAAATATACATGGACAAACTCTGAATATACCTCTAGATGCAGAGCTATTTAGAGCTGAAGTGCTCTGAGACACACACAGGTTCAGAAGGAATCTTATTAACACCAGCCTTAGGTGTTAATATCCTTGCACATCCTTCTTCACCAAATGACCCCTGCACATATTCTAGCCAACCCCTGCAAGAGAGTGAAACAGTAAAATGGACAAGTACCGAGCTGTGTTTTTCATGTGAAAGGCAACATTTCTGTGAGAACAGCAGGGAAAGGAGAACAAAACTCACAGGGCTTTCCCTGTGACAAGACTGTGCAGACTCAGTGCACGAGCACCCCTCGACACACTTCATCCAACACTAACACAACCCTCTTGCCTGAAAATGGGGCACAAGGGAAAAAACAAACCAAAATCAAAGCACAAACTTTTGCTCAACAAAATCAGCTTGAGAGGAAATGTGCTCACCAACACAAATATGTGCTGTAGGGAATTCAACGCAGATAGTTCATACTCTTATGTTCATCAATGATAGCAAATTAAAACTGGTCTTAGGCACTCAATGCACAGGACTAGAGTATTTAAAAAAACTCAATATGTTAAGCGCAGTGTATCTCCAGAGAAATTAGGTATTGACTGCATGCCTCAGTGAGTAGAAAATCTACAAAAATCCATAAAATGCATTGATTCAAATATTACTTTTTAACACTATGTAACTTTTTTTTTGATGTATATTGGATGCAGATATAATTCTCTTTAATTATCAGGCAACAAGCAAAAATGTAAGACTGTTTATACAGTATGGACTTCAAAACTGAACACGAGGTCACACTCACACAATCAAATGCTGTGTTAAAACCAACAATGCAGTTGTTTGTCATAGGGAATTTGCATCAAAGTAAAATGAGTTTTGATTTAAAAATGCTAGCTTGTTCAGAGCCCCTTGCTGGCCGCAGACAAGGCTGCAAAAAGCCAGCACCGAATACAAGAAAGCTGATGGTGTGGGCAGATCTGGTGGCAAGGCCTTGCCTCGGTCCGTGACTCGGTCAAATGCCAACACTGGATATAGCTAGAGGATGTAACCGAGATAGCACTGAACAAGATTAACTATTAACTCTACCTGTAGACTTTAACTCTACCATTGAGAGAGCTGCCACGTGCTGTTCACATGAGGGCACGTCCTGGGTCTTGGTGGACTGTGAAGCCTCTGCAACTGAGGAGCTCCACACGCAGCTTGAGGAATGAGGAGCAATGTAGCTGGGTTAATCTCTCAATTCAACTAGTGAAACACCAGTGTTGATTTAAATCTGCATCCAATTGACCTTATGGAAGGAGGCTTGTGGCTTCCAGCATTGCCAAGAAGCACTTTGTAAGGCAACAAATTCATAATTTTGTTTTAAATTTTAGCATGCATCTCAAAACACTACATATTCAGGTAGCTACTTCATAAGTGGAAAGTAAAGCAAGTCACGGCATTCTCTGTTTCTAGCTCAGCACAACCAATGGTACTATTCAGGGATTGTCAGAGTAGAGAAATACTTATGTCACTATATACACTCAGGAAAAGCCCTCTGAAAAGGATCTCATCTTTGTAAAATAACTTTTAAAAATTAAACTATATTTAAAGACCATTAAAAAAATTCCATCCTGGAAATCTGCTAACCCCAGTTTTCAGTGGTGCATGTCAATATAGTCTTTAAGTACTTTTCAGAAGAGCACACCATCTCACTTTGTAGATAACAGACTGTGCTGAGTGCATCAACCATGAACTGAGAGTTCAAGAGACTGTTGAGCAAAGACCTCTGCCCTAAGGGCTGGAAAACTTGCAGGGCCCTAATGTCCTTAAACATCTCCACAACTCTACAACTCACAGCAAAAGACAAAGGAAAAGGGTCACTGTTTTGCCATCTAGGCCTGTAGCATCTCACACAGTGCGGATGTGCATTTTCCCTGGGGTGTTTTGGGAAAGTCTGGTAATTTGACCTTAATGGATCGAGTCTGCTGAGAAGCTGGAGCCAGAGCTGAGGCACTCCACATGAGCACTCCGGATTCTCTCAACATGCCAGATTTCACATCATGTTCTGCAGACTTTTCTGCTGGCAGCAGCAGAAAATCTGGAGATCTTTTCTCTGGAACTACTAACAAGCATGAGTTTGTTTGTTCTGAGGTTGGGCTAAACTCACTCAAGGTACCTTTCAGATTATTTTCTTTTCTAGAGTCTACCACTTTTCACCAATCCAACCTGGCTTCAGCCGCTTGAGGGGTTTATCTAACCCATAGGCTGCTAAGGACAAGCAGCTTCACTCCCACCTGCACTCTACTAGTTTGTCTGCTACATGTCCACTAGGCAACTTAATTGCTTTGTCTATTTGACTGTTGAATCCCAATAAACCAACCTTTAGTTATTCTTCCAAAAGCATCCACATAACATACTGGTACTTAGTCACATGTCTCACACTGCCAAGCAAAACAGCCAGAGTCAGGTCTCCAGAAAATGCCCTATATGCTTGGGTGATCTGGAAGAGGCTGGAACAGGTGCCCTCTGCACCACAAAATATTTTTTAGCAGGTAAAATTATGCAATTGTCTTAGTGGCAAACACTTGACAGTCTTATTTCATTTTTTCTAATGACCAGAGTTAAATGACTGCAGGTTTTAACAGCGCCGGCAAATTATCAAGACCCTCTACATTACATGGCCAATGGTCCTTTTAATAGAAAAAGCAATAATATACAGTTGTTTGTGCCAACTAAAACTCGTTAGAAAGTATTAGTTTAAGGCAACAGTTCAGCAGCTATTAACAAGCACAAATTTCTGTAGCTATCATTTGTGACACTGTGATCTTAGCAAAACTGGCAACATCAAACCATTCCTTTTGCTTTAGAAGATCTGGGGAGCGGAGGGAAGAATTAAAAAAGTTAACAAAAACACTGTTTTGTATTAAGAGTCAAAGTTTTTCAATAATCACCATTTTTTCACTAGCATAACATTAGAATTGACTTTTTGTCTTGCTGACATAGCAACTAAGAAAGTTGTGTTGCATTGACCATATTGATTGTGAACAATGCAGCCATCAGTGGGACTCTGCACCATATATTTTCAATATTGACCTCCCATTCCCTTTTCCATGGCTCTATGGGTCTGCTATTGGATTTGGACTGCAGTGTAATAAACAGCTAAGGTTTAATTAATGGTAAATGAATACAAGACATAGGTTATGACTTTAACTAATTAGGGAATTGTTGAATTAAGTCTGCCTTGGAATGCAAGGCAGTATAATCAATATCCAATAAAAGGACTATGTATGTAATTTACCTGCAAATGTGTTTCCAATACCATCAAAGCGAGTTTAAATAAGTAAGATATATGAAAGGCTACTCGAAAAAGATTTCAAAAGTTAACACTTTACGGCTTCAAGAGAGGTTTTCTCCTTGCAGAAGTAATGTCCTCTTGAAATATCCTCCGATAGCATGGATGGTGACACTCAGGTCCACATCTCCATAAAGGTCTCTTTGCAGGCTCTGAACACTTCTTCTTGACAATGCAACAGTAACAAATACGGCCTCTGTCTCTGTCAAGCACCGCAAACACAAGCCAGTACTGCCCCCATGAACCAATCGAGTTTGACAGCCAGCTTCTCCGAGGCACCTGGGTCTATCTCCCAGCACCATAACTGCCCAGCCCGTCAGGTTTAACCATGCTTCCCCCAGCAGCACCAAAGCGATGTGTCCAGGTACAAGAAGAGGTCAGCCCACAAGGGTCAGATCAACCCTGAGTAACCTGGTGCACATCAGCTCACTCACCCTGATTACTCATTCTGTAATCACTCCTCTGAAATAAAATAAAATAAAATAAAATAAAATAAAATAAAATAAAATAAAATAAAATAAAATAAAATAAAATAAAATAAATAAAATAAAATAAAAAGAAACCTACCTACTCCCTTGTGGGCGTCTAAGCTGGTAAACTCTATTGTCCCATTATGGCCTTTCCTAGGATTTTCTTGATACTGTTTGTGGTTCCCATTGGGGCAATATCTGTAGGAAAGTCCATAATCTGCAAGATAAACCTGGAAGACATGAACAGACAAATGAATAATGCTTTTGTCCTTTGAAAGTATAACCTTTATAATTAAGCCTTAAGAAACTGATAGGTTAAGAACAGCCTTAGATCTAGATTTTATTAAACCAAATGGTGCCTCTGGATAAAACATGTACAACTGGGGGCTATAACAGCTGCCCTCCCCATTTAAATCTTCCACTACCATCATCTTATCTTATATGAGAGTCAGGTAGAATTTCAGTCTTCTTACTTTTTCCTAAGCACTCTCCTCTCCAGGTGGGCATCTAGATATCATAAATGGCAATATGCCTTTTATGTATCTTCATGTTGCTTATGGGACCCTTTCCTCTCCTTACTAAAAACACACAAACCTAACCCCCATTCTCAACATCCATCAACTGCAACTGTCCAATTTCATAGGAACAGCACCACATAAAAGCCACAGAGGAAGGTTGAGTGACAGCAGCTTTCCCTAGAGCCCGGGGCTCCAGGGCAAACAAGGAACACGACCACAGGGCAGCGGGACACTGCATCTACATCAATTCTGCCATGCACGAGATTCACATTAAGGGCACAAGTGCCCTGTGTGGATTTCACACTAACCTGTCCTATCTGCTGAGTGGGGCAGGCTTATTACCTGCCCCTGGCTACCTACTGCAGGGCAGCTGGCAAGCAGCAACTTGTTGAAAGCAGCTGGAATTTAATCACAGTTTGTCCACCCCATAATATCCCACAGGTTATTCTCTCACTCACATTTTTACATTCTCACTTGGCCTTTGCCCCTTTACATTGACCAGTTCTCAGGTTAGGCAATTGCTTTTCAGAAATATTTCAAGTATGGTGCTTCTTACTTGGGAAACAAAACAAAACAAAAGTCTATGACTGCTATAGTACGGCCAACGGGACTGATCTCTGGGGAAAAAAAATTAGAGCATCAGAAGTCATATACAAATCATTTCTAGTAAATCACTTTATGTTATAAAAGAAACTAAATTTAGAATAAGAAAATGAGTTGGTTTTCTCTTTAGCTAAGAGATAGCTTAGCCTATAAAAATCTTTTATAAACTCTTCTGGCTCTCACTTTTAATTTAATTATACCACTTTTGGTAGAAGAAAAACAAACACACAAGCAAAAACCCTCCAGAAAACTTGGCGCATTATTTTGCGGCACATTTTGTTGAATTACTGACTCCTGTTTGTGCTCCAGGCAGCACTGAATCCTGGGATGGCTAGTCTCTTGGCTTTACTGTTTCTGCTGCAGGATCTGTGCTTATTTGGAGCGTGTAAGCTGGGATGCAGCACTCACTTCCTGCAGGGTGATGGCTTTTAAGATTAGTGATGATGCTTTTCACCTGGCAGACTACACAAACTGTGAGACAAGATTAAAGACCGTAGGCATGTTTAGAAAATCTGGGACACAGCATAAACATGGCTGGGTTGGGTGATTTGATTTTCTCCTGCCTTAATTCTCTGGTGTATTCCTGATGCTCTGGTTCCTGTGCTAATTGAGCCTCCAGTCAGTGTTAGGACCCATCTGGGCTATCCCAATACCAAGTTTTGTAAGTCTTCTACATCCCATGCAGGCTGGCAAGCAGGTTAGAGGGGTACTCTGCCCTGCTGAAGCAGTAGGTCTGGGATTTTGCTTGACTGTAGTTGTTTGCATGTGCAGTTGAGTGGAATGGACTTCAATCTTTAAAAATTCAAGCTCTCTCTTGTTCTAAAATGAGAATTTAACCCTTACATGAAAAAAAAAGAAAGAAACCTCTCTGCCAGCTCTCTGGTGGCATCTAGACTGGAAATGTGAGCAGATACAATAAGCTGTTCTCATATGGCAGGCCAGTCTACATGATCTTATCTTATTGGGGTGTCTAGGGAATAATCTCAATTATACGTCAGCCAAATTTGAACCATGCAAATAAGTCACTGTGTCTTAGCTGTAAGATGGTAATGTGTACTCCTAAATCATTTTAAGCATTAGATTTACTTAACATACCCTCAGAAGTAGTTCAGCAGAGCTGTTTTAAATTTATACTGGAAAAAAAAATGAAAGTGAGAAGTAGCTTTAGGTTATTCTGTCATCACTAGAAAAGACAAGCTTCTTGCAAACCAAGAAGCAATGACAGCTGAGGCCACTCGAATGCACTAAACAAGAACATCCAGGACTGCAGCATTGGTTGTTCTAGAAGCTGGTCATTAGTGTTGGACCAAAAAAACAGTCCCCTTCTGCCTGTACAAAACCAGCAATGCACTTCCACATGCCTGTCACCCCCATTATTGGAAGCGCTGAGCTAATCTAAATTTCCTTTTCGTGATTTCATCTGTTCTAATTATACAATTTTCATCATAAAATGCAGTGTTCTTCATAGCTCACTGACACGTTTTGATAAAGCAACGCAGTGCGCCCTTCCAAACTCATACAGGACATGGCAGGAAGAGTAGGTAATTTTATTTGCCTGTTTTCCAAAGAGGATGGGGGAAATAAAGGGGAAGAGAGTGAAGATTAAAGAACAGAAATACTGAAGTTACAGTATTAGCATATGCTTCCCTATCATAAAAGGGTAATCTGCATCTGCACACTTTGTATAATGAGAACAAAGCAGAAACAAGGGAAAACAAGAGAGACAGAATAAGATGCGCAAAACATTTCAAATAAAAAACGTGATACCAAGGATCAGATGCCACAACTATGACACTAGCCTAGAACAACTGGTTTTAGCCATACCACACCACCCTCCTGCCTCCATTCCCACCTTCTTTATTTTAACCTAGATGATTTTCTTTGGCTTTTGTTTTTAAAAAAGCATGTTTTCAGAAGTGTATCTCAGTTCACACTAGACTCAGCAGTGCTTAGCATGGTCTGTTATTAATAGATTTTATTACAGATTATGAGCCAGATTTCCAAAGACTTAGCACTTAATTTCATGCTAACATGGATGTGTCTATCTTACTCAAACAAACAGCCATATAGGCACAAAAAACTGTCTACCTGCACAAGCAAGTTATTGTACTATTTAGCTTTCCTCTGGTCTTTTTTTTTTTTTTTTTTTTTTTCACGATTCCCTTATCACAGCACTTTATATCTGAAGTGCTAAATATCTGCTAAACATATAAAACACCTATAATCGATAATTTATAACTGCACTGATCCGGAAAGCCATGGGCCTGCTACTTTCGATTCTTATGGCATTTTATCTTGAAGTACACATTACAGGTGATTTGTCACTGAAAGAATAATGATATCCAGATTTTCTTTGGACATTTTTTTTTCCATTTGATTCCACTATCAAGCTTGCACAATGCTCTGTAAATAATTAACTCAACCTGTACTTATGAGAAGGAGATGGCTAATGGCCATAGAGTCATCAACATAATTTGAACACTATTCTACAGAAAAAGGAGAGACTAAAAGAAGTCTTAGGAGTGAGGTACATCTTGGTGTAAGAAGTTTGAAGGACAGCGATTAAGAGAGAAACTGTATTTTTCACAAAATCAAGGAGGCCAAGAAAGCAAACAAGGAAGGAAGAGTGGTTTAACCAAAGGAGAGAAGGGGAGGAATCACTTGTGCCTGCGCAGAGACACTAGACCATCTGACCACCTTTTTCAGACACCTTTTTTTTTTTTTTTTTTGTATTCTGGCCTAGAAGACAGTTCCATTTGAAGTAGAAGGTATGAAGTACAGGGTAGTTGTTCTTTCTCACTTTTACACTCCATCTCTCTCACACACCCGCACCCTGGAGCAAGACTCTAGGAAAGATGAAAGAGTCTTGCAGGGCAAAAATGTTAAAAAAATAATAATAATAAAAAAAATAAATCTAAAGTTTGAGAAAGAAATGGAGAAAACTTCATTTGGAATATTGAGAGAGAAACATTCTCAGCAACAAACTCTTGGAGAAAGAAGCATCGAGAAAACACAAGCTTTAAGGATCAAAAAATATATGTAACAAGAAAACAGAAGTTCTGGTAAAGCAATAAACGTTGAGTTATAAAAAGTTAAATTCTTTATTGAATTTATCCAAATATTACCAAAATGTAACAGGTAAAGATTGAAGAAAAACATTTTGATTGGAACAGAATTTATTGTACATTTTAGGTACAATAAAGAAAAAAAAATGTCAAGTGGTGACTGAACTTAGAGGACTGAGCCTATGTAGGTGAAATCATCTTGAAGATTGGACTAATATTGCAGCAGAAAGTACACAGAAGAGAACTGTAGCATCAGGAGTACTGTACAAGCTTCAGCCTAAACAATCTACGAAAGAAATCCTGTAGATTTTCTCTCTTCTGGACTTTTAAGAAAGAAGCATCAATAGCATGTCCACATTTTCTAATGTTCTGAGGACTAAAAGGACATCAAGGCTCACTGCAATGCTCAAGTAGCGCTTCATCCAATCCTTAATTTTAAGGCTACTTGTCTTCAAATCCCAGCCTGGAAACAGCCCCCTTCATAAAGTAAGGAGGATTATGTCACTCCAAAACAGTGCAATGTGTTTGCCAAGCTAGCAGTGCAGCCCAAGCCTAAGGCCACTTCCAGGATGCCCCTTTGGACGCTTTGTTTTCTTTTTCATTTCTACCAAAGTTTCTATTCTGTGCTGTTCTTGGAAGCAAGGGAACAAACCCAATACTCTGGAATCAACTGCACTGCAAAGTATTTGGGATCATACCCAAGGATCCAAGGAAATCAAACCAGCCTAAGCAGTTATAGTCGGATTTAGAAATATGAGTGATGAAAGAAAATTAAGGGCACCTGCTTGGGAAGTTGTATCTCTGATCAGGGGTGCAGCCAGCATTCAGGTGCTAACTCAACTGTTTCTGCATAATATCTCTATGTACTATATTCTTCCTAAAACACATGAATGGGAACAGAAAGGATTTTCATTCTTCCTCAACCCATCTCCTCCTGAGCAAATCCATTGCATCGGATCAAAAACTACTATTATTTGTCTTTTCACAAAATGAAGGTTGTTTAAATGTTTTCTTTTTATGTTAAGACTATCTATGATTTATATCTGCAAGTTTTATTTTGTAGCTATTGTTTCTAAGAAGCACTGAAAACCCAAATCAGAACTCACGGATACAAACCTATTTTTAAAAATTTACAGATTAAAAAACCCCAGTATAATACAGACCTTTTGGTAGAATCCCAAGAGCCCACAGCACTGAAGCATGTTACCGATATACTCCAGGAAAAACATGTTAAAAGATAACTGCTTCAAAGAGGCATTCCTCCAAACTGCATTTCATGTATTAAAAACGCTGATTTTAAGCTTTTGTCTGATGACAGGCTGTCTCTTTTAATGCTAAGCATCCCATATTAAAGGAGGTGATCGGATTCAAATTTCTCTTTTAGGGTCTCTATCAACAATGCTCATTCTGCTTAGTCATATAAAAAGTTACTGCTACGCGCTGAATTACTTTTAACTCCTCTCAGCACTCAGGGCTTCACTTGTTCTGTAATTTATAGCCCTGCTCACTTCAAGTTTGCTCCTCAATTCACGAGTGAGCCTTTCCCTCAGCCCATCACCCCCATTCCACCGGCCATCACGCGGACTCCGTTAAGAAACACACTGACTAGAAAATTCATCTTTCAACCTTTAACTCACCGCCTGGCCTCGCTCCCTTCTATTGGGTAGATCTGCAGTCAGCTGCTCTCTGAAGCCAGTTGATTCTGATCTTCTCACCATTTCTAAACATCACCTGGAGATCATGGAGTGATAGGGCCTTTGCTTATTTGTTTCTGTGCCATGCCACAGAAGGTAAGGTGTAGCAATAAGGATTTCAGACGCTATTTCGAAAAGGGTATTATGGTATTTATTGGTTGTGGGGAAAGTTTGCGAGTTTAATTTATAGAAGAGACAGTATAAGAGCAGAAAGCATGATCCCTTCTTGAATCTGCAGGAAGCTATTGGCACATTTGCACATAAAATAACAGGAGTCATTAACAGACGCTAAACAGCAATAACAAAGTTGAATATAAATGTATATATTAGAACACACAGCTTCCATCTCTGGAATAAGGAAATATAAATATACTAACATACTACTACTAGCTAAATATACTACTTTAAAATACACTTATGAATAATTATGACTTGCACACAGCGAGGATATTCTGGGGCTCTGTCAGCATGGTATGACCATGCAGCAGGGCTGGGTCCCTTGCACCCTTTCTGGGGCCTAGGGTTGGCGAATTCCCTTCACACTCGCTTTGCTATCAAACACATGTAAGCAGCTGTCTTTTTAGGCACACAAAAATGCCATCTTGCTTATGCAAGCCATTACTAGCGCTACTTTCCTCCTTTTTAATGTTTTACAGAAGTATTTCAGGAGAAAAGGAAAATTTTACTAGAGAAAAAAAAAATCACACAAAGCCTTTTAGCTCACACTTTGTACACTATTAGCTAGGATGTATTTGAGTAGCAATATCTATTGCCATTTTTGGTATTTAAGTTGCACTGCTACTCAAAACATCTATCCTGTGACTCTCGACTATCTCATTTTTGATCTCTCAATGAATTTAACACCCTTAAGAACAAAATACTAGTAGCACAATCTTCATCAAGTTACATGAGCAGCAAATTACAAAACCATCCCACAATCCGGCCAAGTCTGGCAAAAGCAACTGATCCAAGTCAGCTACATGTCTTAAAACTTTATTGTAAATAGACACATCCAAAATGATTTGAAAATGAAAAAATAGCAGCATATCCTGTTATCATAAAAATACACAAAAATCAAGAAAAAAGAAGTATTTTGAGTTATGTTAGTAAAAGCAGATTGCTTTGCCTCTAAATAAATACCCTCTTCTCAGATTCAGTAAGCTGGTAAATACCATAAAGTGAGATTATGTACTAATTGATGCAACTGTCTATACACATGATTGTTTAAAACAGTCATGAGAATTTTTAATCCTTGTATTTTAAAAAGCTAAAAAGTTAAATCTGAATCAAGCATTTAAAAGGCACAACTTCTGAAGTTTTGAAAAAATCAGATACAGTTCAGTGGTTCAACAGCAGCGAGTAGTTTTGCAGCATCTATTACTTTGTCACTGTTGCAGGAAAACAAAAATTGAAGGATGAGGCAAAATATTGCTTATAGCAAATCATATTTAAGTTACATTTAAGGGGTGTCCCCTTTTCCAAAATTAAGATCATCTTCCATGAGGAAAAGGTACTTCAATTTTTTATTAACTAAAGAAAGAGAAGAACATCATAAAACCAGGCAAATAGGCTGGGATCAAAAGGTCTGTTTCACAGCATTTCACCAAAACAACTTTTATGGCTATTTTTGGCTTTAGCAGTCCTGATGACACTCACCTGCTCTATCCAGTACAATAAGCAAGAACTATTGTCATGGAACCACAGCTCATGAGAGTGCTAGAAAGACAGATCTTCTCAACAAAGGTGATACAACGGGCCACATTCTTAAACCATACTTCTAAACTTGAATTGGCATAATCTAGATGAGTTTTTAGGTCCCCTAATTTATCCTGTGGGTTATTTTACCCTTCCCTCACTATGACCCCAATCAGAGGGAACAATAAGAGAATAAAGCAAGAGTTCTGCCCAGCTTCTCTCTCCAGCTTTAAGTTCCACAAATCCTGCATCAGAATTTCAGAGAGAAGATAACAATGTTTTTGCTGCAAGTTCTCTCTTCTTTTAATACATGAAATTCAGAATATGCATAGCCAAAAACAATTCTAAATACATTAGAGTAGCAGCATAGATTAGTATAAAAATGCTTACCTCATGTGGGTTGGTGTAGCCCAAAAGCAGATTTGCTGCTTTAATGTCACAATGAACATACTCATTTTCATGTATGTATTCCAAAGCATCCAACTAGAAAAGATTTATAAATCTTTATAAAATTCTTTAATCTATGAGAAATGCTTTAAAGCTTTAATTTATCAGAAAGGAAACCATCATCATCTCTACTCCTCCCTTCACCCTACCACCAAATATTCCACACTCTTACAGTGAGCTCAGGGGTTGCATAGGCTGTGAGATGACAAGTTATTTTAGGGGGTAGAGCACAAGGTCTGAGGGGTCCTTCCTAGTTGTCCTCCTGGAAGGTTCACTCTGTGTGGCACTTGGTTTGGTCGCATCACATGCATCAAGCACACAGCTGCTGAGGTCTGCCCAGTCCCCTCTCCATTCTGTCCCTCTCCACACACAGCTAATAGCAAAGCATTAAAAAAAAAAAAAACACCTTTACTGTGAGTATCCCTGTCTAAATACTTAAGAATACCAGCTTCAAAGATCACTGACAAAGAGTAAACTAAGCACTTTGCAAACACTGAAGGAACTGTTGAGAGTAGCAGGTTCTTTAGAGGAAGAACACATATATTATAAACCTTTAGGGTTGAATGTATTTAATCCTGCCAATTACTGCATGGTCTGAAACTCGGTTCCCTATTTCTCCTCATCATCTTCCCCCTCCATCTCCTCACTAAGGGGTGATAGCTCTCTACTTGTTATGAAATATATGCTTGTATTTGGCAATTTGAACAAAGGACAGTCTAATCTTGGCTGCTGAAGAATACAAAGACAGCCAAGAAATGTTAGAAATTTGTTTAATTACATGGCTACAAAAGCCTTTTGCAGTTTTATTTTTTATTGAGGTTGGAAGGGATTGCTGGAAGTCTCTAGTCTAACCCCTGCTTGATGCAGGGCTCACTTCAAAGTTAGGTAAGGTTGCACATGATGCTGGACAATCCAGTTTTAAAAAGTCCTCTGAGGTTGGTATTCAGCAATGTGCAACCAGGTCCAGCACCACACCATTCTTCCAGTGAAACCTTTGTTACATTATGCGCACTTGGAACTCCCCCTTCTGCAGCTTGTGACCATTGCTTCAACTCTACTTGCTGTGTATCTCTGCTCAGCAATAGCAGAATGGTCTTTCACAACACAAAGGACATCACAAAGGAAAACGTATGTGACCATCCATTAGCATCTGCTGGTCTACACATATTAAAAAAAAAAAAAAGAGAGAGAGAAGACACTTGCAAATAGCCTAGTTCTGGCCTGTGCAAGCAGGGTGTTCAACAAACACAGTCTAATTTCACAGTTGCACACATAAAGTACTGTGATCAAAATTCTCAAGGGTCTTATACAATACCCTGCAGACAGTGAAAAAAGGAAAAAAAAAATCAATTCATGTTAAAGCATATAAGAATGGGTTTACACATCTCAGTCTGGACATACATTTAAAAATGCTTTAATCTACGAGAAAGAACCCTGGTTTGAGCCCAGCAAGTTCTAGTCTGCAAGGTATCTTGATTTTACACTTAATGCTCATTTTACTTAAAAAAAGAAAAAGTTCTTGAATATACATTTAATTCTAAGCTCAACAGCTACCTAAAAGAATTTTATTACTTCAGAAAGAAGATCTCATTAGTTGAATTCAACATGTTAAAAACAAAGCAATTTCCTCGCTCTCTACATACCATTCGTGCCCCAAGCTGCAGAACAATCGTCTTCTTAAACCTACTCCCAGAATCTTTGAAGATACTTTGAAGGTCTTGCCCCAGTCTCTCCATGACCATGAACCTGTAGCTATCAGGAAATACACAGAAGGGAGGAATCCTTTAAGATGAGAATGCAGGTTTGCATCGTCAGATTGAAAAGACATATCCTTTGTTTGGTTGAAAATGAATCTTTCATTAATTTCACACTTGATTGCAACTCATTTGATTATTTATTACCTTTTCCCTTTGTATTCAGCCAAGCCTGATCCCCAATACACTGGAATTCCTAAGCATTTTATTTTTTTGAGATGCATCCATTTTCTTACTGTAATCACAATAAAAAGACAACATTGTGTTCAAAGTAGCCAGAGAATTTTACAGTATTTTTATTACTACTTTTAGCAAATGCAAAACTCCACCACAATGAAACAAATGTAATTTGACAGATTACTTTAGCAAACAATTCAGATGATAATTTCGCTCTTAAGTCCTCTATATTACCTAAATCAAGAAGCAAAGTTCTCTATTCCAGTAGGGTAATACTTAGCACCCTTAAAAGGCAATAGATATACCCAGTTATCACCAACTGAGAATGCAATTCATTTAAAAGCTCTACTTTATTCAAGATGGTAAAGTTATAAAAAGTACATCAATCCAGCATGCTTCAAACTAGCAAAGGTTCTTAAGTCTACCGGCAATCTAAGTCATTTGAAGTCTTTAGGACAGTTCCCATGAATAAATTGCATCCATGCTTATTTAACTGTCTGCAGAATCAATTGCCTCAGCTATTACTAAATTCCGTTATTATTTAGTGCATTCTTAACTTGGTTCAGGGGAAGAGGTACTAGCAGAAGCACCCTCTGTTCAAAGACTGGCCTTATGTGGAGTCCATACCTTCTTGGGCACCCTGATGTGTGCACATGAGCAGAAACTGCTTGGCTCACTTCTGATCAAAAAAAACAAGGGCTATATCCAATTAAGGAAACCTGCAGCAACTCAAAATTATTATAACACCAACTAGAATCAGTTCAGCACGTACGAAATAAGTTGACTTTTAAGGGCTAAAGGATCAGCTCTCAAGAAAAACAAACAAACAGACAAAAAAAAAAACAAACTAACTCAGTTTTAAAACTAACTGAATTAGAAAACACAGTTTTATTTTCTGATACATTACTTACTGTGCACTTGTTTTGCAGCCCTCTGGTAAAATTTCACTTCAGAAAACAAGGGGCCATTTTCAAGGTACTCCTATTGAGAAATAAGTAAAGTTTGTATCAGAAAACATATTATAAAAAAATCCTAAAAAATGTATATGAAATTCAGAGGATCATTCCCCTGCCTCTTATATTTTTGGTCTTTTTTTGTCATTTGGTTCACCATTTTTTAATTAGTAAGATGAAAAAACAATTTGCAATACTAATTTTGGGGGGAATTATTTAGGAACCCATTTCAGAAATACTGTAAAATCAAGCATAGTTTTAAATATACAGTTTCATTTTCCTTATTAAACTGTTAAGGGCACTAATGAGGACAAGCAAACACTATGCATGAAAAAAAAAAAAAGACTGAAAAAAACAAAAGCCACAAGCATTCAGTACAAACCCAAAGCTTAAAATGAGAATAGATAATTAAGGGAAAGCACTGAATACAAGTTAACAATTTAGAAACGAAATCTACACATTACCACTTTAATTACATGCACAGCATCATCTTCTACAGGAACATGAGTTTGAGGGGAAGCTGCAAAATAAGAAAGAGATGGGGATGAAACTACGCCACAAAATAGAACTGCAAATAAAGAGCAAGCTAATGTTGCATAAGGCAGTCAAAATGCAGGACAAAGATTTCCAGCTCCCAACATATAGTAGAATTTCTGTTCTTAAAGGTCAAAACATTGTCAATTAAAACACAACAAAAGAACTAAAACCAAAAGTTTTATCAGAAAGTATAAAAGCAATTTCAATTCACATTTGCAGAACTCTCTCCCTCAACATGGATTAGGGAGCAAGCAGGATGACTCCATCACTTTTGCACCACCATGAAGTATCACATGACAGCAGACTATATTTTAGCCATTCCCATCAGTTGGATAACCTCTGTATTTGGTCCCTGTCAATCCACTATCGTGACAAAGACACCACTTAAAAGTTATGACCTACATTATGCCTATAGACAGAACTGCTTTCCACCACTACAAATTAATCTGGCCCCAGAACCTCGCTTTCTGTTCTGACATTATTTAGCCACTAGTCTAGGTTAGGGAAGGCAAAGCCACCACTTGCCTAAAAGAGGGATGAGGGATTGTGCCTCTTAGAGCAAGTAGAAATTTCAAAACAATAATTGACCACATGTGCCAATTACAGCCCCGGAGACAGAGTCTCCCTGCACACACAATGCGATTCTATTTCCTTCTGACCCTGGAAGAACTATCAGTTTTCTCTGATACTGCTGAAGCGCATAGAGCTACGCTTGGATTAAAATTTAATGAGACTAAATCATCTTTTAGAATGATCATTGAAAAAAAAAAAGAAAAAGAAAAAAAAAGAAAGAAAGAAAAAGAATACAGTTCCGAGGAAATACGTCTCCCTTTCAAACTTCTCAGAATGATCAAATACCACAACGGTCCAGGTGTGAAACACTTCACTCACTAGCACATACAAAAATACACCACTTTCATCCGCATAATAAAAATCAAATAAACTCGGCTCTAATCAAACTATCCAAGCTTACATTTTTGATGGTGAGGGCATAAAAACTACTTTTACAATGAACAGATTCCTTTAACATCCATCTTCTCTTAATCCTGCTCATCTCCTGGGTTGCATCCGGGAGGATGCACAGCCCGCAGGCCCCCTGCCTGACACTTGCTGGTGCAAATGCTCCTGGGCAGGTAGCGCTTCAGAGCAAATAGAGCCATGCCCTGAAATGGTGGCTCTGGAACGTGTGAACTATCTACAGATTTGGGAAAGCAATATGGTAACTTTCAGAATACAATTTAAAATCATTCTTATAATCAGAAGGGGAATTTTGGTAAGCCAAAACATATTATTATCTTATTGTCCTGCTAAACTAAGGGAGGTTCTTAGTGCACAGGTACTTATGTCCTTACACATGTAGGCTATGCCTTAATAGCTAAAGGCATCGCACTTTGGAGGAATGTGTCCCAGGTGTTCTCCTTGTACTTAACTATGTCACATTGCCAGAACAAAGTAAGAGCTGCTCCCTGGCATGCATCAGAAAGGAAACTGTTTTCAAGAAAATAGATTTTAATATCAAATTACTTAGCACAAGCTTGATAGACATAGGGTAGTATCAAATTTAAATGTATTTGAAAGAGTCTGATCTAACTTCCCTATAGACATCTTGACATTTTATAAAGAGAGGCCTCGTTCATGGTAATCTGGAACAGACAGTAACATCTGTCAGGGTAATGAAGAAGAGCAATTAGCGGGAGGCAGGCCAGCAAAGGGGCCTAACCCCCATGGTTCTTACCCTTTGCTGGCGTGGATGCTTTCTGGAATCGTACAGAAAGAACAGCAAGCAAAAATAAGAACAAAACTAACTGCAAATGGTTACAAGGTGAAAAGGGAGAAGAGTCGGGCAAAAAGCAAGAAGACACAGGAACAGATGCTCCAGCAAATGAGTAGCACGACATTCAAAAATGCAAGAGGAGAAAAGGTACCATCATTTTTTACTGCATGTACATGAAACAGGGTGTAACACACACAGTGGGTAACACAACTTTGAATTTCTTACGTGGATGGTGCTCAGACAGTTAATCACATACATACAGATAAGCAGAAGGTGCATATGAACTTTCTGTTACATTGTTTTAATTAACCATTCATGTATCAGGCAGCAGTATTTTAACTGCGGCTCAGATACAGGACAGACTATTTTTTGTATATAAATATACACAACTTTTTCTTCTTTTTAAATTGCCTCATTACTATGTATAGTTACTTAGCAGACTGGAAAGGCTCCCAAGGTTTAACAAACAGTCTGATTACATACCTCATAGCCCAGCACCACATACTCTCCTGCGAGTTTAGCTCATAGTTAATTACCGCATACTCGTAATTAGCCATGTGCTAGCCTCGTTCTGTGTGATAGCACATGGCTATTCATAATATTGCAATCAGTTAAATTCTAGACTGCAGGACAGTAAGCACGGGCCCTGCAGGAGAGCAGCGCTGACATGCAGGAGGTCTCCAATGGCATGTAAGTACATACATCTAGTACCACGAGTACAATGTGGTGAGATTATGATTGCAAAGGGTGACTTAAAATAACATAACAAATAGGAGCATTTCCAGTTTACAGCTTGTGCATCGCTGTTCATCACCTATGGAGATGCACAGGCTCCATAGTTTGGGGGCAGGGTGCTAATGTATGCGTACAATCAGACCTACTGCCTGCATAACTGTTAACATTGGCACGAGGTGAATCCATGCAGAGGCCACCGCTCACCAACAAAAGCCTCACAAACATTTGCAAAGCACAAAGGGCACTGCTCTATTACCCCTTGCTTTCCTTCATCCTGTTACGGGAAACCCCAGAAAAGAATGCACCCAAAGACACATTTTTGCTGCTGTTGCTGGTACATTATGGGAAAATACAAACAAAATACAGTGGATGTTCCTGGCACGTCATGAGAGAATACACACAAAACATTCAACATCGGTTGAAGATGAAGATAAGGGCCACCATATCTTCCAAGAAACTGTCTGAAACTGGGCAGTAGAACCAAAACAGGGCATTCTGAGCCAAAATGAGGCCATATACAGAAATGAGTTACTAGACATCATCGAATGGACACAATGGGTGCGTTAAGAAGAGCATCTCCAGCAGGTCAAGGGAGGGGATCCTGCCCCTCTAATCAGCCCTGGTGAGGCCGCATCTGGAGTATTGTGTCCAGTTCTGGGCTCCCACAGTACAAGAGGGATGTGGAGCTGCTGGAGAGAGTCCAGCGCAGGGCTACAAGGATGATCAGGGGCCTGGAACATCTGCCCTATGAGGAAAGACTGAGGGAGCTGGGCCTGTTCAGTCTGGAGAAGAGAAGGCTGAGAGGGTATATACATACCTCAAGGGAGGGCGTGAGGATGGGCCCAGCCTCTTTTCAGTGGTGGCCACTGACAGAACTAGAGAAAACTGAACTAGAGAAACTGAAGCATCAAAGGTTCCACGGGAACTTAAGGAAAAATTTCTTAACAGTGAGGGTGACAGAGAGCTGGAACAGGCTGCCAAGAGAGGTTGTGGAGTCTCCTTCTCTGGAGATCTTCAAAACGCACTTGGACGCAGTCCTGTGCCATGTGCTCTAGGTGACCCTGTGTGTTCCGGGGAGTTGGACTAGATGACCTCTAGAGGTCCCCTCCAACCTTAGTTCTATGAAAAGACAGCCACCAGGGGTCTCAAAAGACCGTGAGAGACCACCAGAGGGACAGAGGGTGCACGCACGCAAGGGTGGGGTACATTGTAATTAGTTCCAGGAAATAGAATGAATATGCATGATCATTCCTAGAGTTTAATGCATAAATAGATAACAGAGAAATAAAAGTTTTAGCAAAGACACCTTAGAGCATGCACAATAAGCGGAGCCATCCCCCGTGCATCCAGAGCTGCAATAAAGTGAATGTCTGCTTCTTAATACTGCATTGGTGTTAAGAGATTTATTCCCCGTTTTCGGTGACAATTCCACAAGCACCAGCAAGAAGTATATGAAGAATTTAAAATGCAGTCCGAGATAAAGCAGTGCAGGAGGATTCATATTCTTTGCCATAATTTCCAACTGTTGTGCCTAGGCAACACAGCAAATAACTTACCTCAAATTAACCCCTCTCCAGAACTCCCTAGTTTCATCCAAGCACAGCAGTTATGGTCTTAACATCCACTTTAACCATGAATTTCAATGGTTTTGTTGCCGAGTGCCACAAACTTAATCAATGTAGCTTTCTAAATGTTAATATGACATGGTAACAAAGGAGTTTTTTTTTCTTTTTGGATGAACTGTGATTTCCTACTACTGCAGAGCACAATTGCTCGCCGCCTGACAGAGGCATGTGCCAATTCCGTTTGCCAGTCCAAACGTGCTTGGTGCAGCTTGAGCAGCTAATTTGTGGCAGTCACATTTGGAATATGGTGAAATATTTTCAATGGCTTCAATGGCTCTCACAGAACCAGTTTTGTTGACGAAGTTTACACAGCGGAAAAGAAAACAGCACTGATCTGGCAGCTTGAAAAAACATCCCCACTACTGCCCACAGCTGGTGTCTTTGCCACTGTTGGATATTTTGAGGATATATTCATTTTAGAAATACTAAGAGAATTACTCTCACAAGTTCTTGGGTCGCTAACATTTTATTTTTGCTTTGTTTCACTGGATAGCTGATCCTGGTGAGTGATATTGTCAGCTTAATTTTTGCAGAAATAAAACCTACCTTCAGAAGTTAATACCACACTCCAGAGTTACAGGCTGCCTACAAGAAAGCTGGAAAAAACGCAATCCCATTTAAGTAAAGCCAAGAACTATTAAATCCAATGGCTAGCAAAAGGGTGAAAATGTCATTCAGAGCATTTAACAATAAAAAACAACCCAAGTTGCAGGAAAATTGTTACTTTAAAAAAACTGCACAAATGAGCAAGGAGTAGCATCTGTTATTTTACATTTATTTTTAAATATATCATACGTGTGGAAGATACCAAGTCAAATATTTAAAGGAAAGGCACCACAACACTTTTCT